GTTATCATCTCAATATTAATTAAACTTGATGGTTCACTTTTCTCTAGCAAGATTTCAAAGGAATTTGGTAATTGGAAATGTAATATTTATGTATGTTTATGTTAACAGCTTGGTATTGAAAGGTTTGATTTGAAATGCCACTTGAGGCTTCTTTACACAGTTTTGTATACCAAATTTAATATTACATTTTATACGTATGTTGCAGGAGAACCAGCTAAGGGGTTCTTGACCTTAGAAATGTTGAAGACCCCTGGACTAGTTAGTTTTCTTAGTTCATAAGAGCATAGGTTTCATGAATCGCCTTGTGAACTATAGCCTGTGATGAAGCTGCTCTAACTAAAACCTTTCTTAAACAGCTTCACTGTATCATGGCGTGTCAGACCGGGTGAGTAACGATGAATAATCCACGTCATGGCCGGCTCATCATCACTGCAGGTGAAAATGTGAGGCTGACCTCACTTTTGGCTGCTTAGCCTCTCTGCTTTACCCACTGAGAAGTATGACACAGCGTCTATGACATTTAGAGAGGTTGGCAGAAAGAAGACGAATAGTAGATAATGAACAGATGTCCTGAGGCGAAGGTGAGAGTCATGTGAGGTTAAATGTGGAATTGGCTTGAAAGTAAAACTTTAACATAAGTTGTGTTTTGGTTTATACAGGACACCGTATGATCTACAATGAAATAACTTGTTATATCTCTCACAGGCTCCGCCCTCTACTGGACTCTATGGGTACTACCTTATCAAGCAAGCATTCACCTACTGAGACTTCTATAGACGTAGCCGGCCCCAGGGCGGGCCTACCTGAATGCGCTCGCATCTCACCGTATAAAAGGAGGCCTCGCCTCCTGACTGTATTCCCTTTCTCTTCAACGAGCGGAAGTGATACACTGAGCAAAGACGTGAATAGAGAAAGAGAAGAAAAACATGGACTCACCACTCCTTAAGCACCGGACCTGCCCGACTTGCCCTGCTCTTTGAATTAAAGAATGTAAATACTGAGTTGAAAGAATAGTCAGGCGTTTTGGGTGATGGGAGACACATCTATGGATTCAGAATTCCAATAGCTTACCATTAAATGACGGATATACCTTTCTGTCTGTGGTGTTTTATAAATCAGATATTAATGTGTAGAAGTAAAACCTGTGAAATAATATGGCAATATCCTGTAAAATTATGTGAAAACATGAATAAAACTACACATTTTCAGATGTTATACATACATAAGTGTCCTACACTAATAATACAAAGTTATTATGGCTGTGTGTACCTTGTGTGCACCGCCTAGTGGTTAAAGCACGTTATTGAATTATTGTTTTAATGTGTTATATTTGATAAAAAAATATTAAGAGTACATACTTTCATAGGGGGAAAGTAGAAGGTCAATGATAGAAATATAGAATATAAAAAATCAAGAAGATACTGTAAGTGATCTCATAATAATAATAAAACAGTTTAGTGCAGGATGTACAAAGATATTAATAGGAGGAGGCCTACGTCTGTTTCTGGTTATTTTATTTTGAAATTCAGTTCCTGACGGCCGCCAAAAAAGCCTGAGATTATGGAATTAAACAAATAAATAAAAACAAGGATAATTGTGTGTTATTGTTGAGTAAATAACAGTGTGTTATTTAGAAAAGAATAACAAATTAGAAGGAAAAAAAGATTTAAAAAATACAGATTTCAGTATTCTGAGGCTCTGAGCCCCATTTCTTTTATTTTCCTCCTCAGCTTAGTGTCAGTCATCCTAGTGGCTCCGGATCACGTTGGGGAGCCGTGGTACTCAGAGATGACGCAGATGAAGGTGGGCCAGCCCTGGGCGATTCCCCAGTTCTGGGGGGCGATGTCTCAAGAGGCAGGTGCAATCGGGGCGTTACCCACTCTGGGCCAACCTCTCCAGGCTTGGCTCCTGAGAGGGACAGGCTGAGACAGGGTGGATTGTCTGACAGTGTTATTCAGTCTATCCAGGCAGCTAGAGCGGGATCCACCACAGCCTATTACAGGCCAAAGTAGCTTGGATTCCAGCGATGGTGTGAGGAGCGGAGAATAGAGCCCCTATTTTGTGAGTTGGGCTCTATTTTATCCTACTTACAGTTACTGGTGGACAGAGGGCTTGCTCATTCCACAGTGAAGGTGTATGCAGCAGCCATCTCGTCCTGCCATGAGGGATTTGACGGCAGGTCAGCCTTTACTCAGCCACTGATGTCGTGGTTTTTACAGGGGGTCAGGAGGCTGCACGCCTCCGCCCCACAGTGGGACCTGCCGTTGGTGCTCGAGGCTTTGGTCACAGAACCATTTGAGCCTCTGGAGCTCTCCTCCCTAAAAGCACTGTCGTGGAAGACAGCATTGCTACTTGCCTTAACGTCAGCCAAGAGAGTGTCCGAGTTAACCGCTCTGTTGGTGCACCCGAGTTGCTTGTTGATCCGGGGTGACCAGAGCGGGGCGACACTCAGGCCGAACCCCTCCTTTGTGCCCAAGAGCCTAAGGAGTGCGTTCAGGTCAAGGGCTATTCAGTTAGGGGGCTTTAGTCTTCCACCCCATAGTGGGGCCAGGTAAGCTAAACTGCACCTCCTCAGCCCGGTGCGTGCGCTAGCATGTTATGTGGAGCGCACGGCTACCCTGAGACGCACTGAACAGCTGTTTATGTGCTTCGGCGGCGGGGTGACCGGGAAAGCTCTGTCCAAGAAACGCCTGGCAGGCTGGCTCTGCGAGTGCATTGCACATGCCTAAGGACAGGCGGGGAGAGCCTCCCCCGCGGGGGTCCGTGCACACTCTACACGGGCTGTGGCTGTGTCAACAGCCTTATTCAACGGTGTGAATGTAGAGGACATATGCACGGCGGCGTCTTGGTCAACACCAGGCCCCTTCATAAAGTTTTATCTCTTGGACATGTCTGGCTCTTTCTCCTCTTCTGTGCTTGCTGGGGCAACACAGGACTGGTGAGGAGCGGGGGGGGGGCTGTGGGTCAGTGGGCATCTGACCCCCTCCCTGGGCGTAATGCGCTTACGTTTTTCCGGGCCCCCTGGAGGGTCCCGGGGGACGTGGTGCGCACTGGGCCCTTACGGGGCTGGAGGGCTCTCCTCGCCAGCCTAGGGGCAGGAGGGGAGAGCCCTCCACACTATAGTCCACACACACTCTGCACGGGGTCAGTGTCTGAGTGTGGGGGACATGGGGCCCTTGCGCTCCCCCGTGCTCCTTAGGGACTCGAGAGAGGTGGTGCACGGTGAGCCCATACAGGGCTGGGGGCTCTCTCCGTCTGCCTATGGGCGGAGGGGGGGAGCACTCAGCACTGTTTTCCGAGCACACTTTTTGCGAGGTAAGCGAGTCAGAGTGTGCTCTGTCAGCCGCGGGCCAGACTTCTCCACGGTTACAACCGAGGTAGAGGAGGGTGAGGTGCAGCGACTGCTAACCAGAAAGCCGGTCAGGGGCAGTGGGGTGGAACGGTGTTGTATACACGACAGCGCGTGTATACATCGGGGCTCTGTGAGAGATATAACGAGGGGTTGCGTATGGTAACCCTTGTTATATAAGCACACGCGGAGCCCTCTACTCGGGGCACTGTCTGTCTATACCGCTCGCTGAAGAGAGGTGTAGGATGACAGTCAGGAGGCGAGGCCTCCTTTTATACGGTGAGATGCGCGCGCATTCAGGTAGGCCCGCCCCGGGGCCGGCTACGTCTATAGAAGTCTCAGGTGAATGCTTGCATGATAAGCTAGTACCCATAGAGTCCAGTAGAGGGCTCCGCCTGTGCTTATATAACAAGGGTTACCATACGTAATCCCTCGTTTCTATACCCACAGTTTCCCTTTTCCTGCTTTTATCTAATTTTTATTTTAACTTACAGATTCTCTTTATGTCTCTCATCCTCTGCTCTCTGCAGGTGTCCATATTCCCCGGGCGCCGTACATAATGGCAGCCCACTGCTCCTAACACTAGGATGGGTCAAATGCAGAGAAACCGTTTCGTTACATAGTACCTGTACTACGTGATGACCATAAGTTGAATCTTCTTCAATCTTCTTCATATTCCTCTCCTCATGTCTTCACCTTCTCCTTTCCTTTCTTTATGTCTCATTAGTTATCTTCTCTGCCAACTGAGACGACACAGACACACACTTTCCCACTTTATCTTTTTGGGGACCTGCCTCTGTTTGTTTTCATCATCAATTCTCTCATCAGGTGGTCAGGTCACCCCTCTCTACAATTCTGTGGGTAACAACATACTTATGTGCTTACAATTCCCTAGTTTCCCCTGTGCCCTTTCTCTCTTTTTATTCTCCTTTCCTTCCTCCCATCATCCCCCTTTCACCCTTACTTGCTCAATCTTAATTCCAATTTTATTTTTACTTCTCATCCTCTCTTTTGCTATACCCTTTATTATCCTCATAACCCTTCCTCCATGTATTTCCCCATCCTTTACTTCACTTTCTACTTCTCTTACCAGAGTATATGATGGGACCAAGGTGATGATGTAGTACATGGTTTTAATAATACGTTTGCCATTTCAAACCATGAGCTGGTTCAAATATTATTTGCCTTGATTGACAATGTGTTCTCATTTAGTACAGTTTTGAAGCTTTTGTGCTTTTCTTTCCCAGAGTCCACTTTGGACAGGATGAAATATTTCAGGATTGCACTTTTAACACACTTGAAATGTTCTCACTTGCTTGGTTTCAAAACATAACAAATGCCATAATCTGTTCATTGGGGACCATAACATCAATGCTATTTTTCATTGCTGTTGCCGGCCACTATTGCTCACGTACTGTAAGCCTAATACTGCTGCACCCCCTGTAATATCAGATGCACTCCAAGTTATCATATTGTTCTGGAACCGGGCCTAAGAGACTGAGTTACTAGCTCTACTGGATGAAATCCAAAATACAAGAAGTACTGGCAACACATCCAATTGATGCCTGTTGTCCACACCATATTCGGGAACGGCCCTCATTTAACCTTGCTGCGTAAGCAAGCCATATCGTATAAAGGGAGCCCCAACAGGACAGAGGACGGTGTGGTGGAAGACCTTTGGAGACTTCAGCTTGTGGTAGGCTTATCTTCTGCTGTATAGCATTTCAATGCATTCTGTATTTGCTCAATTTTCTAAAATATAAATTCATTGTAAAAAATATCATGAACAATTTTGTTGATTTAAGACCAATATGATATCTTCTCAACAGGATTGTGGAATATTTCTGACTTTTCAATAAGAGTGGAACAGGTATGAACATATTTCAACTACATTACATTTGTAAATATATTTTATTCCGTCAATCTAAGTTAGAAACACGTTTTAATGAGCTAATTACTTTTAACTCCATACTGGAATGTGTTCTGGTAGTGGTACACAGGAAAATAATTGAAGTGTGGATTGTTACCAATCCACATTTCAGTTGACTTACTACCTCTGAGAGCAAAGCAGCTGACCCCCACACTGCTTCCTGGGCCCTGTATAGTAGCTGCCCACTGCTTCAAATACTAGGATGGGTTAAATTCAAAGACTACATTTCACTGAGTGTGGTGCTGTGCACATTTGTGTGACGATTTAACGAGAATTTGATTTAAATCCTTCCATTTCAATTTCAAGGAGAATTCTATTTAATGGTGATATGTTTATTTTTCTTTGATGACAGACATTCTGGGCTGTTGAATCAAATTGATTGAAAACATTCAAATAAGTAAGATTAATAAGATGTATCTTACTTGTGTGTACTTCACAGAAATAAACTGCCACCATGAGTACCGACGCGGAGATGGCCTTGTATGGCAAGGCTGCCATTTACCTTCGTAAGCCAGAGAGGGAAAGAATTGAGGCTCAAAGCGCACCATTTGATGCCAAGAGTGCTTGCTATGTGTCTGATGTCAAGGAGCTGTACTTGAAGGCAACACTCATCAAGAAAGATGGTGGCAAAGCCACTGTCAAAATCCTGGGAACTGAGGAGGTTCGTATCATTAAATCAGTGTGTACAAGGAATTCAATTTGATCATTTCTCATGTAACACATTTCCTGTTCTAGGAGAGGGTAGTGAAAGAAGAGGAGGTCTTCCCATTGAACCCTCCCAAGTATGACAAGATTGAGGACATGGCCATGATGACCCATCTCAATGAAGCCTCTGTGCTGTATAACCTCAAAGAGCGTTATGCAGCATGGATGATCTACGTAAGACTAATTGCCTAATGAGACTGCAAAATGTTTGCTGGAAACATGAAGTTACATTTAAATTCTCTATGATATATTTTAGACCTACTCTGGGTTGTTCTGTGCCACTGTGAACCCCTACAAGTGGCTCCCAGTATACGATTCTGAATGTGTAAGTGCCTACAGAGGCAAGAAGCGTATGGAGGCTCCACCCCACATCTTCTCTGTCTCTGACAACGCTTATCAGTTCATGGCTACTGGTAAGTCATTACCACTCATTTAAAAACCATCAGTATAGGGTTTCTGTTTTTAACATGTACTTGATTGGTTTATGTTTTTTTTACTTTTACAGATAGGGAAAACCAGTCTGTCTTGATCACGTAAGTTTGTAACATTTACAATTGTACCAATTTTTTTTAAATTATCAATCAATCAATCAATCAATGTTTATTTATATAGCCCAATATCACAAATGTTACATTTGACTCAGTGGACTTCACAGTTTGTAATTAAGATTAATCAAACATATTGGTCAAGTTCTTAATAATCTCTGTCTCTACCTAGTGGAGAATCTGGTGCTGGAAAGACTGTGAACACCAAGCGTGTCATCCAGTACTTTGCAACAATCTCAGTTTCTGGACCCAAGAGAGACGCATCAAAGGTATGTTACTCTATGATGATGACGATTCAGGATTCTTTATCTTTAGAAGTTTTTTCAGGGATGAACAAATGAAGTCGTTTCCTGACAGCTATTCTTAACCTTGATTTTAGGGGTCACTTGAGGATCAGATTATTGCAGCCAATCCATTGCTTGAGTCTTATGGTAACGCCAAAACTGTGAGGAATGACAACTCTTCTCGTTTTGTAAGTATGGAACAGTTTCTACACACGAGAGAAGCATTGTTACATTGCACATGTGGAGGGACATTAATGATTATGTTATTCCAAACAGGGTAAATTCATCAGAATCCATTTCAACACAGCTGGCAAACTGGCTAGTGCTGATATTGAGACTTGTAAGTAACAATCCTTATAGTGTATACAAACTACTGTAAGTAAGATTTAGCCTGGCACTGACATGATCAAAACTTGTAGATCTGCTGGAGAAGTCTAGAGTGACATTCCAGCTTGAGCAAGAGAGAGGCTACCATATCTTCTACCAGATGATGACCGGCCACAAACCAGAGCTCCTTGGTAAGGAGAATTAGATATTGCAATTGTTTCAACCTTATTAGAGTTTTACATTTATAAAAAATATCTACTGACATGTTTATTTTTTTTGGATTCTAGAACTGGCACTCCTCACAACCAACCCCTACGACTTCCCCATGTGTAGCATGGGTAAAATCGTTGTGGCCAGCATTGATGACAAAGTGGAGCTGGATGCCACGGATGTGAGTAATTTTCAATTCAACATATTTAAATAGACTTTGTGAAACAAATGCAACATCATTACAACTATTTTAAGAACTTTTGCTTGAACAATTATGTTTTTTGTGTCTTTTGACATCAGAATGCTATTGATATCCTGGGCTTCACTAATGAAGAGAAGATGAGCATTTACAAGATGACCGGTGCTGTGCTTCACCATGGTAACATGAAGTTCAAGCAAAAGCAGCGTGAGGAGCAGGCTGAGAATGATGGCACAGAGGGTGAGTATTTAATCTTAGCTCAAAGCTTAGAGCTTGGCAACAACATTGATACATTTCTTGATAACATTGTGTTCTTCACAAATTATGATGGACATTTCTGAATTATTTTCAGATGCTGACAAGGTTGCTTATTTGCTGGGTCTGAACTCCGCTGACATGCTGAAGGGTCTGTGCTATCCTAGAGTGAAGGTCGGAAATGAGTATGTCACCAAGGGACAGACTGTACCTCAGGTAAACAATGATGATCAATATCTAACATTCTACTGTTTATAAACAAAAAATGTATGTATCTTGAAAATAATATAATATACCAGTTGTATATGTCAAAAATGAAATCATATCACTTTTTTTCTTTAAGGTCATGAACTCAGTGCCTGCCCTGGCCAAGTCTATCTATGAGAGGATGTTCTTGTGGATGGTCATCCGTATCAACAACATGTTGGACACCAAACAACCTAGACAGTACTACATTGGTGTGCTGGATATTGCTGGCTTTGAAATCTTTGATGTAAGCCAGAGTTTGAACAATTTAGCAGTTGATACTTTTCAATAAATAATAGTTCTTATTGCCTTGTAAGAGATTATGAAGATGATATGTCCTTTTGCAGTTCAATACATTGGAGCAGCTGTGCATCAACTTCACAAATGAGAAACTGCAACAGTTCTTCAACCACACCATGTTCGTCCTGGAGCAAGAGGAGTACAAGAAGGAGGGTATTATCTGGGAGTTCATTGACTTTGGTATGGACTTGGCTGCCTGCATTGAGCTGATTGAAAGGGTAACCACTTCATTTATTATATCATACATCATATGTAACTGTTTTTTTATTTGTTATAATGTATCACTAAATGATATACCTCTTTCAACCTTTTCAAGCCCATGGGCATCTTCTCCATCCTTGAAGAGGAGTGCATGTTCCCCAAGGCCTCAGACACATCCTTCAAGAACAAGCTGTATGACCAGCATCTTGGCAAAAACAAAGCATTTGAGAAGCCAAAGCCCGCAAAGGGCAAGGCTGAGGCCCACTTCTCCCTGGTGCACTATGCTGGTACCGTGGATTACAACATCACTGGCTGGCTGGACAAGAACAAGGATCCCCTGAACGACTCTGTCATTCAGCTGTACATGAAATCCTCAGTGAAACTGCTGGTTTCGCTGTATCCTCCAGTAGTTGAGGGTAAGATAGTAACTACAGTAAACACATTTAAGACCAGAGATAATATATACTTTTTACTAATCAAATGTATATTTGTAATATTATTCTATTTTAACTCATCAACTATTACTTGTTTGTGCTAATTGTGTGACATTCTAACAAAACATCAACAGATGCTACTAAGAAGGGAGGCAAGAAGAAGGGTGGTTCTATGCAGACTGTGTCCTCGCAGTTCAGGGTAAGCTTTCTCAAAGCAAACATATAGATCTCTGTTTAAACTAAAACTCCCAATTGTGGCATTTCATGACATGAGACACCATTATGGATTACAGGAGAACTTGGGCAAGCTGATGACTAACTTGAGGGCCACCCATCCTCACTTTGTGCGCTGTCTGATTCCCAATGAGTCAAAGACTCCAGGTACATATACAACAGTATTGATGACTGGTTTGGTTTTTAATTCTGTGCTGCATCAACTAAAATACCTACTATTTATTCAAATAACTAAATATATAATATTTTTTTGTACAGGTCTTATGGAGAACTTCCTGGTTATCCACCAGCTCAGGTGTAATGGTGTCCTGGAGGGTATTAGAATCTGCAGAAAAGGTTTCCCCAGCAGGATCCTCTATGCTGATTTCAAGCAGAGGTATAATGTTTTTATACATAGAATTTTAACCTCTCATTATTACAATGTAATGCTCCTCCTGACAATAAACTCTTTCATATAGATACAAGGTGCTGAATGCCTCTGTCATCCCTGACGGTCAGTTCATGGACAACAAGAAGGCTTCAGAGAAGCTGCTTGGGTCAATTGATGTTCCTCATGATGAATATAAATTTGGACACACCAAGGTAAGTACTTTACATTTACTTCATAACTGAGCTAATGAATATTTACCAAAGACGCTGTACAGTGTATTTGTTGTATGTTACTGTGACTACGGTACCTGTAGTATGTATTATACATGTAATTAATGAAACTACCGCAGGAGGTCAACTCTGGTAGCCTTTCTTTTTCCATCCCGGCAAATAATAAATAATAAAAAATAAAAAACAATACTTCCTTGATTATGATGAAACAAGTAATTAAGACTTGGCCTTAAAACCATTCCATCCGACCAAAAACCATCATGTAAATAGTAGTCACATATTTCATTTTGTTTGTTTGCTTGCTTGTTATACAGTGTTTCAAGTGTTCATTACTTGAATTCATCATTTATTTGCTGAAAGACATTTATATTTCCCCTCCTCGAAAAAAGGTATTCTGATTCTGAAAACATTTTTTGTTTCTGTTTGTTCAGGTGTTCTTCAAGGCTGGCCTGCTGGGTACCCTTGAGGAGATGAGAGACGAAAAACTGTCATCTCTGGTCACCATGACTCAGGCTTTGGCCCGTGGTTACGTCATGAGAAAGGAGTTTGTGAAGATGACAGAAAGGAGGCACGTTGAAAACTGCTAATTCTGATCAATGGTGTAAAAAAAGAAATATATTGTCTAAAACCTATTTTTCTGTGCAGGGAAGCCATATACACCATCCAGTACAACGTGCGCTCCTTCATGAATGTCAAACACTGGCCATGGATGAAGGTCTACTACAAGATTAAGCCTCTGCTGCAGAGTGCTGAAACTGAGAAGGAGCTGGCAAATATGAAGGACAACTATGAAAAAATGAAAACTGACCTGGCTGCTGCCCTGGCCAAGAAGAAGGAACTGGAGGAGAAGATGGTTTCCATTGTGCAGGAGAAGAATGATCTGACTCTGCAAATAGCATCTGTAAGTAAACTTCAACAGACAAATATGCTTTTTCATGTTTGTGAATATATAAGAGCTAACATGTATTTTTATGAAAATGGTCTAGGAAGGAGACAATCTGTCTGATGCTGAGGAGAGATGTGAGGGACTCATCAAGGGTAAGATTCAGATGGAGGCCAAACTCAAAGAGACAAGTGAGAGACTGGAGGATGAAGAGGAAATTAATGCTGAGCTCACTGCCAAGAAGAGAAAGCTGGAGGATGAATGCTCTGAGCTCAAGAAGGATATTGATGACCTGGAGCTTACCTTGGCCAAAGTGGAAAAGGAGAAACATGCCACTGAGAACAAGGTTTGTAATCAATGATCTGTCCATTAGGTAGTGAGATTATAATTATTTATTTGTATTAACAAAATCTTTCTTGCACACTTAGGTGAAGAACCTGACCGAGGAGATGGCCTCTCAGGATGAGAGCGTTGCTAAGCTGACCAAGGAAAAGAAAGCCCTTCAGGAGTCTCATCAGCAGACTCTTGATGACCTGCAGGCAGAGGAAGACAAAGTCAACACTCTGACCAAGGCCAAGACCAAGCTTGAGCAGCAAGTGGATGATGTAAGTTTACAGTCACTTGATTTGGCAAAGCAAGATTATTCTTGAACATGATAATTAAAAATGCATACCTTTGTTTAGCTTGAGGGTTCTCTGGAGCAAGAGAAGAAGCTGCGTATGGACCTGGAGAGAGCCAAGAGAAAGCTTGAGGGTGATCTCAAACTGGCCCAGGAATCCGTCATGGATCTTGAGAATGACAAGCAGCAGTCTGATGAGAAAATCAAAAAGTAACTTAGTTTTTCTGTTTGCACAACATACATTTTTTTAAAGAAGTGTTCAATTGCATGAACTCAATGCACTTTATCAATTTTGTTCACAGGAAGGAGTTTGAATGCAGTCAGCTCCTTAGCAAGATTGAAGATGAGCAGTCTCTGGGTGCTCAGCTCCAGAAGAAGATCAAGGAGCTCCAGGTGAGATATTGTGTTACACTTAACAATACTGCATACATTTACTATTATGTGTAATAAAGTGAATGATTGCTAAAAGAGAAAACATCTACATTCAACAGGCTCGTATTGAGGAACTGGAAGAGGAGATTGAGGCTGAGCGTGCAGCTCGTGCCAAGGTTGAGAAGCAGAGAGCTGACCTCTCCAGGGAACTTGAGGAGATCAGTGAGAGGCTGGAGGAGGCTGGAGGTGCCACCTCTGCTCAGATTGAGATGAACAAGAAGCGTGAGGCTGAGTTCCAGAAGCTCCGTCGTGATCTTGAGGAGTCCACTCTGCAGCATGAAGCAACTGCTTCTGCCCTTCGCAAGAAGCAGGCTGACAGTGTTGCTGAGCTGGGAGAGCAGATTGACAACCTCCAGCGTGTCAAGCAGAAGCTTGAGAAGGAAAAGAGTGAATACAAGATGGAGATTGATGACCTCTCTAGCAACATGGAGAATGTTGCTAAGGCAAAGGTACACTAACATTACATGCTTTTTTAAATTATATTATATGTTACCAATATGAATATAGTACATCATGTAAATTATTTTGTGAATAAAATCTGATCACTGATTTTGTTTATTTTTTCCTCATTAGGGAAATCTTGAAAAGATGTGCCGTACTCTTGAGGACCAATTTAGCGAACTGAAGACCAAGAATGATGAAAACGTCCGCCAAATCAATGACACAAGTTCACAGAAAGCACGTCTCCTGACAGAAAATGGTATCTACATGTTTTTGGTGAACCATCTGTGGAGTATATGATTGAGAAACGTAACACAAACTAACGTATTATAATATTTTTCACACAAGGTGAGTTCACCCGTCAAGTTGAAGAGAAGGAAGCTCTTGTCTCTCAGTTGACCAGAGGCAAGCAGGCCTCCACACAGCAGATTGATGAATTGAAGAGACAGATTGAGGAGGAGGTTAAGGTAAGAAACCATTAAGATAGTATATATTTGTATGATTTGTTTGTGATTTAGAAATTGTGTAAAGGTTAATAATATTTCTTACAACAGGCCAAGAATGCTCTTGCCCATGGCCTGCAATCAGCCCGCCATGACTGTGATCTGCTGAGGGAGCAGTTTGAAGAGGAGCAGGAGGCCAAGGCTGAGCTGCAGCGTGGAATGTCCAAGGCCAACAGTGAGGTGGCTCAGTGGAGAGCGAAGTATGAAACTGATGCTATCCAGCGCACTGAGGAGCTTGAGGAATCCAAGTGAGTGACATTCAAACTGTTAAATGGCCAGAAGTGTAGCATTTTAGCAAAAACTCTACTGATTCCTGAATTGCTGGTAATAACATTAGTATTTTAAAATGTGTATAGCTTTTTACTTTGAGGCCAATCATTTAGATTAATGAATACGGTAATCAGTTGTTTCATATATGCATATGTAACTAGAAAATAACTTGTAACTTTATGAGTTTAACTGAGCCACAAATATCTCAATTTTCAAACAGGAAAAAGCTTGCCCAGCGCCTTCAGGAGGCTGAGGAACAGATTGAGGCAGTGAATTCCAAGTGTGCTTCTCTTGAGAAAACCAAACAGAGGCTCCAGAGTGAGGTGGAGGACCTCATGATTGATGTGGAGAGGGCCAATGGCCTTGCTGCCAACCTGGACAAAAAGCAGAGGAACTTTGACAAGGTAACACAATTTACTGTGTTTGGTCAAAACACACAAACAATGACATGAATATTTATTTTGCCCTGATACTTTAACATAACCAAATAAACTGTATGGATTGTATTATTCAGGTGTTGGCAGAGTGGAAGCAGAAGTACGAGGAGGGTCAGGCAGAGCTTGAGGGAGCACAGAAGGAGACTCGTTCTCTCAGCACTGAACTGTTCAAGATGAAGAACTCTTATGAGGAGGCTCTTGATCATCTGGAGACCATGAAGCGTGAAAACAAGAATCTGCAACGTGAGTTCTACATAATGTCACAGAGTTCAACATGAGTTGGACATTTTTTGTTGTTGATATTTTACCATTTGAGGCTCAACAATATGATAAAACCCATGTATGTTTCTGCAGAGGAGATCTCAGATCTGACTGAACAGATTGGCGAGACTGGCAAGAGCATCCATGAGCTGGAGAAGACCAAGAAGCAGGTGGAGACAGAGAAGACTGAGATCCAGACAGCTCTTGAAGAGGCTGAGGTATTTCTTTCCTGGGAGTTCATAACATTACAAATCATTGACAAATATATCAGTGTTTGAAGGCAAAGATGAGTGTTTAATTGTTTGATTTCATTAGGGAACTCTGGAACATGAAGAGTCTAAGATCCTGCGTGTCCAGCTGGAGCTCAACCAGATTAAGGGTGAGGTGGACAGGAAGCTGGCAGAGAAAGATGAAGAGATGGAACAGATCAAGAGGAACAGCCAGAGAGTGACTGACTCCATGCAGAGCACTCTGGATTCTGAGGTCAGGAGCAGAAACGATGCCCTGAGAATCAAGAAGAAGATGGAGGGAGATCTCAATGAGATGGAGATTCAGCTCAGCCATGCCAACCGCCAGGCTTCTGAGTCCACGAAGCAGCTCAGGAATGTGCAGGCACAGCTGAAGGTATAGAAAAGGAACAGTTTATTTTCCAACTATGGTAGATTGGGCTACATTTTGGCATTCATGTATATATGTCTGATCTTTTTCTCACTAGGATGCACAACTGCACCTTGATGATGCTGTCAGAGCCCAGGAGGACTTCAAGGAGCAGGCTGCTATGGTGGATCGTAGAAACGGTCTTATGGTGGCTGAAATTGAGGAACTTAGAGCTGCTCTGGAACAGACGGAGAGAAGTCGCAAAATTGCTGAGCAAGAGCTGGTAGATGCCAGTGAGCGTGTTGGACTTCTGCACTCTCAGGTGAACAAACCTAATCATTTCAATAATTCAAGAATCAAATACAATTTCAACTAACATGAATATTAGGCATGTGATGACTTAAGATGCTAAATATTTGTACCTTTTAGAACACAAGCCTTGTGAACACCAAGAAGAAGCTTGAGACAGACCTGGTCCAGGTCCAGGGTGAAGTGGATGACACTGTGCAGGAAGCAAGGAATGCAGAGGAGAAGGCCAAGAAGGCCATCACTGATGTAGGTTTCAATGTCTTACTTTTAACGGCCATTTTTTTGGTTGATATTTCTAATTAACATGTTTTGATGTCTCCTGTAGGCTGCTATGATGGCTGAGGAGCTGAAGAAGGAGCAAGATACTAGTGCTCATCTGGAGAGGATGAAGAAGAACCTGGAGGTTGCTGTTAAGGACCTGCAGCACCGTCTGGATGAGGCTGAGAACCTGGCCATGAAGGGTGGCAAGAAGCAGCTCCAGAAACTGGAGTCTAGGGTAAAAAAAGTCATACTAAGATTTATATAGCTGAAAGAAACCTTTGAAAACAAGCTGGATACTTAATGTTTTAATGTTATTCAAAAGGTGCGTGAGCTGGAAGCAGAGGTTGAGGCTGAACAGAGACGTGGAGTAGATGCTGTTAAAGGTGTCCGCAAATATGAGAGGAGAGTTAAGGAGCTCACCTATCAGGTATGGTTACTTTCATAGTTAAAATGTACAGTACCAATTAATCTAATATACTAACCTTTTACAATATTTAAACATGCAAATCTAAATTGGCACAGACTGAGGAGGACAAGAAAAATGTTGCCAGGCTGCAGGATCTGGTTGACAAATTGCAGCTGAAGGTGAAGGCCTACAAGAGGCAGGCTGAGGAGGCGGTAAGGACAATATATACATTGTTTTGTAGATATGTCAGATTTATTTTTACCAGCAAATCTTGCTGATTGTTAAGATTACCATCACATTCTTATATTATATTTTAAAGTGTTTGAAGGTTTCTGTACCTTAAACTATGTATCTCTTATTCCAGGAGGAACAAGCCAATACTCATCTGTCCAAGTGCAGGAAGGTTCAAAATGAGCTGGAGGAGGCTGAGGAGCGTGCTGACATTGCAGAGACCCAGGTCAACAAACTGAGAGCAAAGAGCCGTGACTCTGGCAAGGTAACTATAAAGACATTTCAGCTTTTATGAATGAAAATTAAATTGAATATCTCTTAATGCAATACTTAAGTCTTGACAGAACAAATATAGCCCAAATCTTTATGAAATGAACGACAGAGAAAACATTCAGATGTATGCAGAGTATGATGTTTATGCTTACACTGTATGTATTTATATTTTGTTTGTTTTTTTACAGGGAAAAGAAGCAGCTGAATAAAGCACTTGAGTTGATTGGCTGTTTCTAATCATATAATATGATGTGAAATATACCACAATAAACGTTTTTGATCTTCAATGGAATTGTCTTTCTTATTAGTGGAATGCTATTTTTCTTCTTTACTTTAATCGTCTTCTTCTTCTTCTTCTTCTTCTTCTTCTTCTTCTTCTTCTTCTTCTTCTTCTTCTTCTTCTTCTTCTTCTTCTTCTTCTTAGTGTGAATGCTGTTTACAGCTTGGTAGAGAGGCCTTTTTCAGATTTTAACATTAGTGTGTATTGCGCAGCTCGTCAAGGCTAGAGTGCTTTGATCTCAAAACAGAGTGGAGGAGAGCTTGAAATTCGCCCCAAAAAATGTTTTAAACCTGCCATAATTCCCAAACCCTACACTCCTTGGACATCATTTTTCATGAAAAACGTAGGAAAATCTCTCCTACGTTGAAAAATAAAAATAAAATAATGAAAAATAATAAACAAAAGGCCTCTTGAGGGCATGAAGAGACAAAAACGTATTCTTCTTCTTCTTCCTGGTGCATGCTGGGAGATTTTGAAGTGTGATTGAAAGAGAAGAGTGAAACTTTTGCGTTATATTTTCCGTTTATTTTTGTGTAATGGGTGTTAATTTAATATAGTTTATCGGTGGTGGTTTGATTTGCTTTACTTTTCGTGTTTGTGGGGTGTTATGTGGGGTGTTTTGTGGGCCTCTCCTGCCGGTGTCTCGCCGGCCGGTGTTAACGTATAAATTGTGGGACGAACAACTGGTGACATTCTATAATGGTAGGCAGATGTATCAGGGGCGTGGCCTTTGTCGAATAACAAGGAAATACACATTTAGATCGCTTCTTCTGTCGTTTACATTCATCTTTTGGTATATTTGGCTGGATAGGAACACTTTGATGCACATTCAGTACCAGTGTGTGAGGTTGTGGTTGCGATACCGATATCCGGACGCGTACAGCGAGGACTACAAAAAGACTGCTGGAAAAATGTACCAAAGACCAACTATTAAAAATTGCAGAGCATTTTGAGGTAGAGGTTCCAAAGCAGGGTCGTAAGGACACCATAGTGACCACGTTACAGGCCCAGTTGGTACTGCAAGAAGTTCTGCAAGAAGTTCTGCCAGCAGTAGCTCTCGATAGTTGTTCCGAGGATGAGTTGGCTCAGAAGGCAGCAATAAATCCAGGGTGGCAGAGAAGTGCAGGGTTTTCTTTGTCTGACTTTGGTGAAATGACATTTGAACAGAGAAAGGAAATAATGCTGCTGCAGTACCAACAAGACAGTGAACGTGAGGAACGAGCAAGTGCTCGTGAGGACCGGGCTAGAGCTTGTGAACAGGAAACTGAGATGGAGCGTTTAAGGTTAACTACAGTGGTGCGGGAAGCTGAATTGCAACAAGAGCGTTACAAGTCAGACCTCATCCAAGAGGGTAAGCTTTCTTCTGGGGTGTCCCCAGCAACTTTTGATGTAGCTTATAACTTGAGGTTGTTACCGAAATTAGAGGAGAAGACTGTAGATACTTTTTTTTGACTTTTTGAGCGACTTAGCCAAAGACGACAGTGGTCTGATTCAGAGAAAACATTGCTATTACAGTGTGTGTTAACTGGTAGGGCTCAAGAAGCATTTTCTGCATTAAGTATGGCTGACATTGAAGATTACTTTAGGGTAAAGACTGCAGTGCTGAAAGCTTATGAGTTGGTGCCTGAGGCCTACCGTCAGCAGTTCAGGAAGCTAAGGAAGTCAGAAGGACAGACCTATGTGGAACTTGTTCGGGAGCTGACGATGAAATTTAATCGATGGGTCACGGCTTCCGAAGTAGTAAATCTTAATGATTTGAGGGAACTGTTCCTTCTTGAACAATTCAAAGACATCCTTCCAGAACACGTTGCAACGTACCTGAATGAGCATAAGGTTAAAAATGTAACAGACGCTGGGGTGTTAGCTGATGAATACACTTTAACACACTAGATTCATTCAGGGGAGAGATTTGACTGGGGGAGCAGAGATAACTGTTCTGGTGATCCCAGAGGTAAAGTCGATCTAAGTACTGGCGCAACTTCCAACAGGAGTCATTTGGGGGGGGTCTTGGGAAAAAAGGTTGGGAACCCTTGGTCTAGGGGAATGGGGATGCAGTTGCTGTCTGCTCCAAAGCATCGGTTGGTGTTGTCGTGTAATTTAGGGCAGGGTGAGGTTGCCATGGGAGTCCGGCCTTCTTTGCCTGTTCCAGGAGTGGCAGTCATCCTGGGTAATGATTTGGCTGGTGGCAGACTGTGGCCCGATGTGCTTCCTTCACCAGTTGTATCCTCCAAGCCAGTGGTGAGAGAACTTGCTGACCCTGAGAAAAAGCTGACAAAGGTATTTCCAGCATGTAACACATTTTTTTCACCTTGTGCAGTAACACGAGCCCAGGCATATAAAGAGCAAGACCCAAAAGGCAATTTGGGGAATGCTGTTTTTTCGCTGCCTGTTCCATTGTCTGTCTCTCGTAGTGAGTTGGTGAAGCTCTTGTCCCAGGTTCGCCACGCCGAGGAAGTCACCAAACCCAAACCAGCGGTTAATGAGATGGTCCCGGTTTCTACAGCCTTTCCATTTGGACATCCAACATCTCAAAGGTTCCGAAAATGTGATGGCTGATGCTTTGTCGAGAGCAGTACCTTAAGGTGGTTTTGTTCCTGTTTTCACCTCTTTTTCCAGTGTATTCCTGCTCTTTAGTTGCTTCCAGGGTGCCGGGTTGCTGAGTTGGTGTATGTGGAAAGTAGGCAGTGGTAAAGTAGGGTAACATTTACACCCGGGTAAGCTATGTTTCATGTATTATATGTAAGTATAAGCTCTGTTAGTTTGGATGTTTCAGTGTCTTGGGGACACTTCTTTTATGGGAAGGGTGCTGTTAAAACCTGTGTGTTTCCTTGTAATCAGCAGTGATGGGACCCACCTGTGGCACTTGGTGCCAGTATTTAAGAGGGCTGCAGAACAGGCTCTCGCTCTCTCTCAGCTGCCCTGCTCGGTGCACCAGGACACCGCTCCTGTGTTTGTTTTATTGTTGGTTGTAACCACTGTGTTGGTAAATAAACACTTGTTTTGGGCAACTCCTGTGTGGAACTGTTGTCCTTATGTTGCAAGCAGAGCCAGCTTGTAACATCTTGTTGTCAGTCTTATATTTGTATCATGTATCGTTATTAATATGATGTCGAGTTGATTTGAGACCCGTTTATACTTTCATACAGTCTGTTAGTGAAACACAGTCTGTCTGAGTTGTTTACACCCATCTCCAACGCAGCGTGGAGAGCTGTGGTAAACTGTGATCCGCTCAGATTAAACTGTGATACGACTTCTGTGGCTATCAACCATCGATCATTTTTAATATTAAAGACTACACACATATATCCCTTATCAAAACGGTATTCTGCACTTTGCAGCACTTATCCAGATATAATGAACACATTCAGGGTCAATTCCTCATGAGGGAACAGTTTAAAATGCTCACAGAACAAGACGACCCACCCCCATATGCAGATCTTGAATTAAATAATGAGATGGTTTAAATGATGAGGATATTAAATGATAAGGATGTTCAATGATGAGATTGTTCAAAGAATGTCCACATGATGAGATTCTTCAAATGATTCGAATGAAGAACTTTATGTTACACATAGGCTGAAGGCTGAAGACTTTTCTTTTTGCCGCTGCTTTTAATTGAACTATTCACATCTTAAACTGCACTGTAACTTTTAACTTTTATCCATGTATTTTTTCTTTTAATGTTTATTTTATTATCTTTCCTTTTTAATGACTGATTTTAAATGCCATTTTTAAAATGTCTTCCATTTTTGTAAAGCACTTTGAATTACCTTGTGTTGAAAGGTGCTATATAAATAAACTTGCCTTGCCTTGCCTTGCCTTACACAATTCTCATATAGAGTAAATCCATTTCATTTTATCATACACTATTCCAAGATAGTGTATTCTTTTATTACTTTTTACTATTCCCAAATAGTTTGTTTCTTTTTATACTTTGTGAAACCAAGTGCCTTAACACTGAATGTAGTATAAGAACGATTTCTGTGAAAGGAGAGAGTAAGACATTTTCTAATACCAAGCTAATTGCTGCTATTTTTAAGAGTGACATTGAAGGTTAAAACTAGAAGTTATGCACAATGAAAAACTTTCATGTTTGATGATGAACCAAAGTATTTTTTGTATTTTTGTATTTTTGACGAAGGTTATGAATTTTTCCATTTTTGATTGTATGTTTTTGATATGAGTTATGTACTATGCAATGTTCAGATGAAGAACTCATTGATTTCAGTATTATTTACATACCTTAAAAGGTATGTAAGGAGGGATTGTAAGAAATTAAAATCAATGTTTAAATGGCGTAATTTAGATTAAACATACTGTAAATTTAAAACTGTTTTATTCTGAAAATACTTAATTTCCAGTTAGCATTAGCTTGTGGCTAACGTTATTGCTGAATGTTAAATGAATGAGAATACGAGGAGAAAAGGCGTGTCGAGTTATACAACAAACACACAACGTCTAAATACTTGTATTTATGTGATATCAGACACAGAAGAACGAGGGGGAGACAGACCCCCCCCATCGTCGAAGCAGCCAATGAGAGGAGGAGCCAGGAATCAGATTTACACGCGGAGCACGAGGCTTGCTTGTCCCTTCTTTCTTCACCCTTCTCCGAACATGGCGCTGTGTTCTTGATTTGCTCTGTCTGTTTCAAAACCATGTTACTTCATTAAAGGAGAGGTGTCATGGCCATTTCCACTGATCATAATTCCATTGTTGAGGTATACTAAAATAGATTTATACTGTGCATTTTTCCAAACTCACATTGGTTTCTCATACAGCATCTCTGTAAACTACTTGTATTCACTGAATTTCACTCTCTGCCTTTAACGGCTCGTTGTAGCTCCCAAAGCTCCAGCCCCCACCCTCCCTGTGAGCACAGTGTGCTGTGATTGGTCGGGACGTTGTGAATCGCGCTGAGCTCCGTGGAGGTGTTGTTTCCTTGTTTAGGATACATAGCGAAACACAGCCAAACTCATCCTGAGCACACACAAACTCACATCCGAAGTAAAAACAATAAGTGTGGCTTGATATTGAGTAAGAAAAAGGTTGATAAACGCTGTGAGAATGGGTCTGCAGAGAGAATTTTGCCGCGATCCCAACTGTCTGTTATCAGCCTGCAGCCAGGGAGGAGAAATCAGCTGAGCTGCCTGCTCCCTGCACACAGACGTGTGTGTGAGGAAGTCCGTGGATTGGTCAATTTGGACCAATTAGCGGGGGCTTAACGTAACGGCTCCGCGGACGTAACGTAACGGCTCCACGGATTGGTCCATTTCGTTCCGGGTACGGCTTGACATCATGCCGTCCCGGAAGAATCAAATGGACAATGACGTATCTCCAACGAGGCGTTTTGGGGAGGTATGAGTTTTACTCGCTATAGGGTGTACTTTGAGGGTTTTGACTCTGCACACCGTTTACATGCATAAAAACCTTCATAACACACAAGGGGACGGGTAATAACCGGAAAAGCATGACACCTCTCCTTTAAAGTACACCATTTGAACCTAACTTCCTCCTGGACTCGAGAACAACGATCACGATCTACACTGGAGAACAGAGGGGGGATGGGAGAGTTTTGTCACATTCCAATGGGCCATTACTTTTGAAACAAAGAGAGTCACAGCCCTGCGTTGATTTAAGGCAGCTGTCGGGGGGTGGGCGGTGGTGAACGGTACATGGTCAATGTTTGTTTAAAAATGTTTGCAATCGCGAAAGCTCTAGTCTAAGCCAATCGGACATGGACAAAAAAAAAGGATCAGTCTATGTGTCGAGGGGGAACTAGAGACACTCCTCTGCCTTTACAGCCATGGTCCGGTCTGACAGCGCTTAGCTCTCTGCTGCAGAGAGGAAGAGAAGATCACTGCTCTAAACAAAGTCAAAAATCGTACATCTAAACGGAATCAATCAATCAATCAATTTTTTTTTTTTTTTTTTTTTCTCATACTGATATTCTGAACAAACTGTGCTGTTGTATTAGCTGTAAAATGTCTTTACTGTAGGGTATTTTTATTATTTGTACAGCACTTTGGCTCGACCAAAAATCGTTTATAAATGTGCTATATAAATAAAACTTGATTTGATTTGAAAATGGGAGAAACCTCAGCAGAGGAGGGACCCCTCTCCCAGGACGGACAGACGTGCAATAGATGCCGTGTGTAAATCGAAGAGATAATACATAATAATTCATTATTATTAATACGTTAAGTCTTGTTCATTGTTTTTCACTTTTATTAAATGTTTGATATTTCCGGCACAGACGCTTTCATACCGGAAATGCGCGATAGAAACAACAGGAACTGCGACAGCATAAATATGCAATCACAAACCTACATTTAAACGTTACTGCTGGAGAAGAGAGATCACAAGGCGTTTGGGAGATCACAGGAGGGGTGGGAGAGCTGTGGCTGATTGGCCATTACGTGTGTAAACAAAGAGAGTCACACACAGCCCCCGCTGATCAGCTGATCACCTGATCACCTGAGAGAGAGTTTCATTCAGACTATTTAAAAAAACAACGGTCTAATTTTATCATTGCACAACAATGAACTCAATGTGTGATTGTTATAGCAGTAATAATACAGTAAACTATTAACAATAGTATAATATTATAGTAAATATTCTTGTTTGCCCGTGGTGAGATGACGAGGCTCCATTAAAAATAAACCTATTTTTTGTGAATTACTGAGTTTAGGCACGTTAGTAGTATTAAGACCCCAGTATGTGTCAGAATGAGATTAAGTACCTGATAAGAGAGTGATTTATGACCCTCATAAACCTTAGTCCCGCCTCCAAATCACTTTAAAGTGGCACCTGTCAGTCTGACATCTGACCTTTGACCTTTGACATCTGACCTTTGACCCTCTTGTCTTTTACGACTTGTTTGTTTATAGCCCTGATAAGGATATTGCACAATAGGGGGGTGATAAGACTTTATCACCCCTTTGATGTGAAACCTGTTAGTATCTTAGTAGGTCATTATTTGTCAATGATAAAACCAGATAGTATGATAGTATGACTTGTTTGTTTATAGCCCCTGATAAGGATATTGCACAATAGGGGGGTGATAAAACGCTTTATTGGCAACGACACTACTGCACACACACCCACAACCCCAGAAGAACACTACAGAGCTGACTTCTTCAAGGTGCTGGATACTGTGGACATGCAGCTGAAGGAGAGGTTTCATCAGAGTGGTGTGACAATATTGGCAAAGCTGGAGGAAGTCCTCCTAACTGGGGAGCTGGACACCGCAGTGGTGGACCAGTATCCTGAATTAAACCAAAGGTCACTGAAGGTGCAGCTTGACATGTTTAAGCTCCATTCAAATCCACTTCAGACGCCGCAGCTATTCTGAGGAGTCAGTTGCCTGAAGTCTGTGGCCTTTTCGACCAAGTAGAAGCCCTTATACGGCTTCTTATGGTTGTTCCTGAGATTCAGTGCTCTGAGGAGGTTGAAGACCTGGCTGAGAAGTACAATGATGCAAATTCGCATTAACAATGTAGCAGTCTGTCACATTCACAAGGAATTGCTGGATAAAGTCCGCAGGGAAAAGATTTGCCAGGAGTTCTCCAGGTCACAAAGTCAACCTCACATGATGATGTGATTCCAGTTTTCAAGCACAGTAAATATTCTCTTCCCAGAGTATATGATGGGACCAAGGTGATGATGTAGTACATGGTTTTAATAATACTTTTGCTTTTCAATGTTTGTCTTTTCAAACCATGAGCTGGTTCATATAATATTTGAACACCCCCCTGTAATCTCAGATGCACCCCAAGTCATCATTTTATTCTGGAACCGGGCCTAAGAGACAGAGTTACTAGCTGTACTGGATGAAATCCAAAAAATGCCTGTTAACACCATATTTGGCAAGTGCCCTCATTTAACCTCGCTGCGTAAGCAAGCCAGATTGTATAAAGGGAGCCCCAACAGGACAGAGGACGGTGTGGTGGAAGACCTTTGGAGACTTCAGCTTGTGGTAGGCTTATCTTCTGCTGTATAGCATTTCAATGCATTCTGTATTTGCTCAATTTTCTAAAATATAAATTCATTGTAAAAAATATCATGAACAATTTTGTTGATTTAAGACCAATATGCTATCTGCTCAACAGGATTGTGGAATATTTCTGACTTTTCAATAAGAGTGGAACAGGTATGAACATATTTCAACTACATTACATTTGTAAATATATTTTATTCCGTCAATCTAAGTTAGAAACACGTTTTAATTAGCTAATTACTTTTAACTCCATACTGGAATGTGTTCTGGTAGTGGTACACAGGAAAATAATTGAAGTGTGGATTGTTACCAATCCACATTTCAGTTGACTTTCTACCTCTGAGAGCAAAGCAGCTGACCCCCACACTGCTTCCTGGGCCCTGTATAGTAGCTGCCCACTGCTTCAAATACTAGGATGGGTTAAATTCAAAGACTACATTTCACTGAGTGTGGTGCTGTGCACATTTGTGTGACGATTTAACGAGAATTTGATTTAAATCCTTCCATTTCAATTTCAAGGAGAATTCTATTTAATGGTGATATGTTTATTTTTCTTTGATGACAGACATTCTGGGCTGTTGAATCAAATTGATTGAAAACATTCAAATAAGTAAGATTAATAAGATGTATCTTACTTGTGTGTACTTCACAGAAATAAACTGCCACCATGAGTACCGACGCGGAGATGGCCTTGTATGGCAAGGCTGCCATTTACCTTCGTAAGCCAGAGAGGGAAAGAATTGAGGCTCAAAGCGCACCATTTGATGCCAAGAGTGCTTGCTATGTGTCTGATGTCAAGGAGCTGTACTTGAAGGCAACACTCATCAAGAAAGATGGTGGCAAAGCCACTGTCAAAATCCTGGGAACTGAGGAGGTTCGTATCATTAAATCAGTGTGTACAAGGAATTCAATTTGATCATTTCTCATGTAACACATTTCCTGTTCTAGGAGAGGGTAGTGAAAGAAGAGGAGGTCTTCCCATTGAACCCTCCCAAGTATGACAAGATTGAGGACATGGCCATGATGACCCATCTCAATGAAGCCTCTGTGCTGTATAACCTCAAAGAGCGTTATGCAGCATGGATGATCTACGTAAGACTAATTGCCTAATGAGACTGCAAAATGTTTGCTGGAAACATGAAGTTACATTTAAATTCTCTATGATATATTTTAGACCTACTCTGGGTTGTTCTGTGCCACTGTGAACCCCTACAAGTGGCTCCCAGTATACGATTCTGAATGTGTAAGTGCCTACAGAGGCAAGAAGCGTATGGAGGCTCCACCCCACATCTTCTCTGTCTCTGACAACGCTTATCAGTTCATGGCTACTGGTAAGTCATTACCACTCATTTAAAAACCATCAGTATAGGGTTTCTGTTTTTAACATGTACTTGATTGGTTTATGTTTTTTTACTTTTACAGATAGGGAAAACCAGTCTGTCTTGATCACGTAAGTTTGTAACATTTACAATTGTACCAATTTTTTTTAAATTATCAATCAATCAATCAATCAATGTTTATTTATATAGCCCAATATCACAAATGTTACATTTGACTCAGTGGACTTCACAGTTTGTAATTAAGATTAATCAAACATATTGGTCAAGTTCTTAATAATCTCTGTCTCTACCTAGTGGAGAATCTGGTGCTGGAAAGACTGTGAACACCAAGCGTGTCATCCAGTACTTTGCAACAATCTCAGTTTCTGGACCCAAGAGAGACTTGTAAGTAACAATCCTTATAGTGTATACAAACTACTGTAAGTAAGATTTAGCCTGGCACTGACATGATCAAAACTTGTAGATCTGCTGGAGAAGTCTAGAGTGACATTCCAGCTTGAGCAAGAGAGAGGCTACCATATCTTCTACCAGATGATGACCGGCCACAAGCCAGAGCTCCTTGGTAAGGAGAATTAGATATTGCAATTGTTTCAACCTTATTAGAGTTTTACATTTATAAAAAATATCTACTGACATGTTTATTTTTTTTGGATTCTAGAACTGGCACTCCTCACAACCAACCCCTACGACTTCCCCATGTGTAGCATGGGTAAAATCGTTGTGGCCAGCATTGATGACAAAGTGGAGCTGGATGCCACGGATGTGAGTAATTTTCAATTCAACATATTTAAATAGACTTTGTGAAACAAATGCAACATCATTACAACTATTTTAAGAACTTTTGCTTGAACAATTATGTTTTTTGTGTCTTTTGACATCAGAATGCTATTGATATCCTGGGCTTCACTAATGAAGAGAAGATGAGCATTTACAAGATGACCGGTGCTGTGCTTCACCATGGTAACATGAAGTTCAAGCAAAAGCAGCGTGAGGAGCAGGCTGAGAATGATGGCACAGAGGGTGAGTATTTAATCTTAGCTCAAAGCTTAGAGCTTGGCAACAACATTGATACATTTCTTGATAACATTGTGTTCTTCACAAATTATGATGGACATTTCTGAATTATTTTCAGATGCTGACAAGGTTGCTTATTTGCTGGGTCTGAACTCCGCTGACATGCTGAAGGGTCTGTGCTATCCTAGAGTGAAGGTCGGAAATGAGTATGTCACCAAGGGACAGACTGTACCTCAGGTAAACAATGATGATCAATATCTAACATTCTACTGTTTATAAACAAAAAATGTATGTATCTTGAAAATAATATAATATACCAGTTGTATATGTCAAAAATGAAATCATATCACTTTTTTTCTTTAAGGTCATGAACTCAGTGCCTGCCCTGGCCAAGTCTATCTATGAGAGGATGTTCTTGTGGATGGTCATCCGTATCAACAACATGTTGGACACCAAACAACCTAGACAGTACTACATTGGTGTGCTGGATATTGCTGGCTTTGAAATCTTTGATGTAAGCCAGAGTTTGAACAATTTAGCAGTTGATACTTTTCAATAAATAATAGTTCTTATTGCCTTGTAAGAGATTATGAAGATGATATGTCCTTTTGCAGTTCAATACATTGGAGCAGCTGTGCATCAACTTCACAAATGAGAAACTGCAACAGTTCTTCAACCACACCATGTTCGTCCTGGAGCAAGAGGAGTACAAGAAGGAGGGTATTATCTGGGAGTTCATTGACTTTGGTATGGACTTGGCTGCCTGCATTGAGCTGATTGAAAGGGTAACCACTTCATTTATTATATCATACATCATATGTAACTGTTTTTTTATTTGTTATAATGTATCACTAAATGATATACCTCTTTCAACCTTTTCAAGCCCATGGGCATCTTCTCCATCCTTGAAGAGGAGTGCATGTTCCCCAAGGCCTCAGACACATCCTTCAAGAACAAGCTGTATGACCAGCATCTTGGCAAAAACAAAGCATTTGAGAAGCCAAAGCCCGCAAAGGGCAAGGCTGAGGCCCACTTCTCCCTGGTGCACTATGCTGGTACCGTGGATTACAACATCACTGGCTGGCTGGACAAGAACAAGGATCCCCTGAACGACTCTGTCATTCAGCTGTACATGAAATCCTCAGTGAAACTGCTGGTTTCGCTGTATCCTCCAGTAGTTGAGGGTAAGATAGTAACTACAGTAAACACATTTAAGACCAGAGATAATATATACTTTTTACTAATCAAATGTATATTTGTAATATTATTCTATTTTAACTCATCAACTATTACTTGTTTGTGCTAATTGTGTGACATTCTAACAAAACATCAACAGATGCTACTAAGAAGGGAGGCAAGAAGAAGGGTGGTTCTATGCAGACTGTGTCCTCGCAGTTCAGGGTAAGCTTTCTCAAAGCAAACATATAGATCTCTGTTTAAACTAAAACTCCCAATTGTGGCATTTCATGACATGAGACACCAATATGGATTACAGGAGAACTTGGGCAAGCTGATGACTAACTTGAGGGCCACCCATCCTCACTTTGTGCGCTGTCTGATTCCCAATGAGTCAAAGACTCCAGGTACATATACAACAGTATTGATGACTGGTTTGGTTTTTAATGCTGTGCTGCATCAACTAAAATACCTACTATTTATTCAAATAACTAAATATATAATATTTTTTTGTACAGGTCTTATGGAGAACTTCCTGGTTATCCACCAGCTCAGGTGTAATGGTGTCCTGGAGGGTATTAGAATCTGCAGAAAAGGTTTCCCCAGCAGGATCCTCTATGCTGATTTCAAGCAGAGGTATAATGTTTTTATACATAGAATGTTAACCTCTCATTATTACAATGTAATGCTCCTCCTGACAATAAACTCTTTCATATAGATACAAGGTGCTGAATGCCTCTGTCATCCCTGACGGTCAGTTCATGGACAACAAGAAGGCTTCAGAGAAGCTGCTTGGGTCAATTGATGTTCCTCATGATGAATATAAATTTGGACACACCAAGGTAAGTACTTTACATTTACTTCATAACTGAGCTAATGAATATTTACCAAAGACGCTGTACAGTGTATTTGTTGTATGTTACTGTGACTACGGTACCTGTAGTATGTATTATACATGTAATTAATGAAACTACCGCAGGAGGTCAACTCTGGTAGCCTCTCTTTTTCCATCCCGGCAAATAATAAATAATAAAAAATAAAAAACAATACTTCCTTGATTATGATGAAACAAGTAATTAAGACTTGGCCTTAAAACCATTCCATCCGACCAAAAACCATCATGTAAATAGTAGTCACATATTTCATTTTGTTTGTTTGCTTGCTTGTTATACAGTGTTTCAAGTGTTCATTACTTGAATTCATCATTTATTTGCTGAAAGACATTTATATTTCCCCTCCTCGAAAAAAGGTATTCTGATTCTGAAAACATTATTTGTTTCTGTTTGTTCAGGTGTTCTTCAAGGCTGGCCTGCTGGGTACCCTTGAGGAGATGAGAGACGAAAAACTGTCATCTCTGGTCACCATGACTCAGGCTTTGGCCCGTGGTTACGTCATGAGAAAGGAGTTTGTGAAGATGACAGAAAGGAGGCACGTTGAAAACTGCTAATTCTGATCAATGGTGTAAAAAAAGAAATATATTGTCTAAAACCTATTTTTCTGTGCAGGGAAGCCATATACACCATCCAGTACAACGTGCGCTCCTTCATGAATGTCAAACACTGGCCATGGATGAAGGTCTACTACAAGATTAAGCCTCTGCTGCAGAGTGCTGAAACTGAGAAGGAGCTGGCAAATATGAAGGACAACTATGAAAAAATGAAAACTGACCTGGCTGCTGCCCTGGCCAAGAAGAAGGAACTGGAGGAGAAGATGGTTTCCATTGTGCAGGAGAAGAATGATCTGACTCTGCAAATAGCATCTGTAAGTAAACTTCAACAGACAAATACGCTTTTTCATGTTTGTGAATAAATAAGAGCTAACATGTATTTTTATGAAAATGGTCTAGGAAGGAGACAATCTGTCTGATGCTGAGGAGAGATGTGAGGGACTCATCAAGGGTAAGATTCAGATGGAGGCCAAACTCAAAGAGACAAGTGAGAGACTGGAGGATGAAGAGGAAATTAATGCTGAGCTCACTGCCAAGAAGAGAAAGCTGGAGGATGAATGCTCTGAGCTCAAGAAGGATATTGATGACCTGGAGCTTACCTTGGCCAAAGTGGAAAAGGAGAAACATGCCACTGAGAACAAGGTTTGTAATCAATGATCTGTCCATTAGGTAGTGAGATTATAATTATTTATTTGTATTAACAAAATCTTTCTTGCACACTTAGGTGAAGAACCTGACCGAGGAGATGGCCTCTCAGGATGAGAGCGTTGCTAAGCTGACCAAGGAAAAGAAAGCCCTTCAGGAGTCTCATCAGCAGACTCTTGATGACCTGCAGGCAGAGGAAGACAAAGTCAACACTCTGACCAAGGCCAAGACCAAGCTTGAGCAGCAAGTGGATGATGTAAGTTTACAGTCACTTGATTTGGCAAAGCAAGATTATTCTTGAACATGATAATTAAAAATGTATACCTTTGTTTAGCTTGAGGGTTCTCTGGAGCAAGAGAAGAAGCTGCGTATGGACCTGGAGAGAGCCAAGAGAAAGCTTGAGGGTGATCTCAAACTGGCCCAGGAATCCGTCATGGATCTTGAGAATGACAAGCAGCAGTCTGATGAGAAAATCAAAAAGTAACTTAGTTTTTCTGTTTGCACAACATACATTTTTTTAAAGAAGTGTTCAATTGCATGAACTCAATGCACTTTATCAATTTTGTTCACAGGAAGGAGTTTGAATGCAGTCAGCTCCTTAGCAAGATTGAAGATGAGCAGTCTCTGGGTGCTCAGCTCCAGAAGAAGATCAAGGAGCTCCAGGTGAGATATTGTGTTACACTTAACAATACTGCATACATTTACTATTATGTGTAATAAAGTGAATGATTGCTAAAAGAGAAAACATCTACATTCAACAGGCTCGTATTGAGGAACTGGAAGAGGAGATTGAGGCTGAGCGTGCAGCTCGTGCCAAGGTTGAGAAGCAGAGAGCTGACCTCTCCAGGGAACTTGAGGAGATCAGTGAGAGGCTGGAGGAGGCTGGAGGTGCCACCTCTGCTCAGATTGAGATGAACAAGAAGCGTGAGGCTGAGTTCCAGAAGCTCCGTCGTGATCTTGAGGAGTCCACTCTGCAGCATGAAGCAACTGCTTCTGCCCTTCGCAAGAAGCAGGCTGACAGTGTTGCTGATCTGGGAGAGCAGATTGACAACCTCCAGCGTGTCAAGCAGAAGCTTGAGAAGGAAAAGAGTGAATACAAGATGGAGATTGATGACCTCTCTAGCAACATGGAGAATGTTGCTAAGGCAAAGGTACACTAACATTACATGCTTTTTAAAATTATATTATATGTTACCAATATGAATATAGTACATCATGTAAATTATTTTGTGAATAAAATCTGATCACTGATTTTGTTTATTTTTTCCTCATTAGGGAAATCTTGAAAAGATGTGCCGTACTCTTGAGGACCAATTTAGCGAACTGAAGACCAAGAATGATGAAAACGTCCGCCAAATCAATGACACAAGTTCACAGAAAGCACGTCTCCTGACAGAAAATGGTATCTACATGTTTTTGGTGAACCATCTGTGGAGTATATGATTGAGAAACGTAACACAAACTAACGTATTATAATATTTTTCACACAAGGTGAGTTCACCCGTCAAGTTGAAGAGAAGGAAGCTCTTGTCTCTCAGTTGACCAGAGGCAAGCAGGCCTCCACACAGCAGATTGATGAATTGAAGAGACAGATTGAGGAGGAGGTTAAGGTAAGAAACCATTAAGATAGTATATATTTGTATGATTTGTTTGTGATTTAGAAATTGTGTAAAGGTTAATAATATTTCTTACAACAGGCCAAGAATGCTCTTGCCCATGGCCTGCAATCAGCCCGCCATGACTGTGATCTACTGAGGGAGCAGTTTGAAGAGGAGCAGGAGGCCAAGGCTGAGCTGCAGCGTGGAATGTCCAAGGCCAACAGTGAGGTGGCTCAGTGGAGATCGAAGTATGAAACTGATGCTATCCAGCGCACTGAGGAGCTTGAGGAATCCAAGTGAGTGACATTCAAACTGTTAAATGGCCAGAAGTGTAGCATTTTAGCAAAAACTCTACTGATTCCTGAATTGCTGGTAATAACATTAGTATTTTAAAATGTGTATAGCTTTTTACTTTGAGGCCAATCATTTAGATTAATTCATACGGTAATTAGTTGTTTCATATATGCATATGTAACTAGAAAATAACTTGTAACTTTATGAGTTTAACTGAGCCACAAATACCTCAATTTTCAAACAGGAAAAAGCTTGCCCAGCGCCTTCAGGAGGCTGAGGAACAGATTGAGGCAGTGAATTCCAAGTGTGCTTCTCTTGAGAAAACCAAACAGAGGCTCCAGAGTGAGGTGGAGGACCTCATGATTGATGTGGAGAGGGCCAATGGCCTTGCTGCCAACCTGGACAAAAAGCAGAGGAACTTTGACAAGGTAACACAATTTACTGTGTTTGGTCAAAACACACAAACAATGACATGAATATTTATTTTGCCCTGATACTTTAACATAACCAAATAAACTGTATGGATTGTATTATTCAGGTGTTGGCAGAGTGGAAGCAGAAGTACGAGGAGGGTCAGGCAGAGCTTGAGGGAGCACAGAAGGAGACTCGTTCTCTCAGCACTGAACTGTTCAAGATGAAGAACTCTTATGAGGAGGCTCTTGATCATCTGGAGACCATGAAGCGTGAAAACAAGAATCTGCAACGTGAGTTCTACATAATGTCACAGAGTTCAACATGAGTTGGACATTTTTTGTTGTTGATATTTTACCATTTGAGGCTCAACAATATGATAAAACCCATGTATCTTTCTGCAGAGGAGATCTCAGATCTGACTGAACAGATTGGCGAGACTGGCAAGAGCATCCATGAGCTGGAGAAGACCAAGAAGCAGGTGGAGACAGAGAAGACTGAGATCCAGACAGCTCTTGAAGAGGCTGAGGTATTTCTTTCCTGGGAGTTCATAACATTACAAATCATTGACAAATATATCAGTGTTTGAAGGCAAAGATGAGTGTTTAATTGTTTGATTTCATTAGGGAACTCTGGAACATGAAGAGTCTAAGATCCTGCGTGTCCAGCTGGAGCTCAACCAGATTAAGGGTGAGGTGGACAGGAAGCTGGCAGAGAAAGATGAAGAGATGGAACAGATCAAGAGGAACAGCCAGAGAGTGACTGACTCCATGCAGAGCACTCTGGATTCTGAGGTCAGGAGCAGGAACGATGCCCTGAGAATCAAGAAGAAGATGGAGGGAGATCTGAATGAGATGGAGATTCAGCTCAGCCATGCCAACCGCCAGGCTTCTGAGTCCACGAAGCAGCTCAGGAATGTGCAGGCACAGCTGAAGGTATAGAAAAGGAACAGTTTATTTTCCAACTATGGTAGATTGGGCTACATTTTGGCATTCATGTATATATGTCTGATCTTTTTCTCACTAGGATGCACAACTGCACCTTGATGATGCTGTCAGAGCCCAGGAGGACTTCAAGGAGCAGGCTGCTATGGTGGATCGTAGAAACGGTCTTATGGTGGCTGAAATTGAGGAACTTAGAGCTGCTCTGGAACAGACGGAGAGAAGTCGCAAAATTGCTGAGCAAGAGCTGGTTGATGCCAGTGAGCGTGTTGGACTTCTGCACTCTCAGGTGAACAAACCTAATCATTTCAATAATTCAAGAATCAAATACAATTTCAACTAACATGAATATTAGGCATGTGATGACTTAAGAGGCTAAATATCTGTACCTTTTAGAACACAAGCCTTGTGAACACCAAGAAGAAGCTTGAGACAGACCTGATCCAGGTCCAGGGTGAAGTGGATGACACTGTGCAGGAAGCAAGGAATGCAGAGGAGAAGGCCAAGAAGGCCATCACTGATGTAGGTTTCAATGTCATGTGTTCTTACTTTTGACGGCCATTTTTTTTGTTGATATTTCTAATTAACATTTTTTGATGTCTCCTGTAGGCTGCTATGATGGCTGAGGAGCTGAAGAAGGAGCAAGATACTAGTGCTCATCTGGAGAGGATGAAGAAGAACCTGGAGGTTGCTGTTAAGGACCTGCAGCACCGTCTGGATGAGGCTGAGAACCTGGCCATGAAGGGTGGCAAGAAGCAGCTCCAGAAACTGGAGACTAGGGTAAAAAAAGTCATACTAAGATTTATATAGCTGAAAGAAACCTTTGAAAACAAGCTGGATACTTAATGTTTTAATGTTATTCAAAAGGTGCGTGAGCTGGAAGCAGAGGTTGAGGCTGAACAGAGACGTGGAGTAGATGCTGTTAAAGGTGTCCGCAAATATGAGAGGAGAGTTAAGGAGCTCACCTATCAGGTATGGTTACTTTCATAGTTAAAATGTACAGTACCAATTAATCTAATATACTAACCTTTTACAATATTTAAACGTGCAAATCTAAATTGGCACAGACTGAGGAGGACAAGAAAAATGTTGCCAGGCTGCAGGATCTGGTTGACAAATTGCAGCTGAAGGTGAAGGCCTACAAGAGGCAGGCTGAGGAGGCGGTAAGGACAATATATACATTGTTTTGTAGATATGTCAAATTTATTTTTAAGAGCAAATCTTGCTGATTGTTAAGATTACCATCACATTCTTATATTTTATTTTAAAGTATTTGAAGGTTTCTGTACCTTAAACTATGTATCTCTTATTCCAGGAGGAACAAGCCAATACTCATCTGTCCAAGTGCAGGAAGGTTCAAAATGAGCTGGAGGAGGCTGAGGAGCGTGCTGACATTGCAGAGTCCCAGGTCAACAAACTGAGAGCAAAGAGCCGTGACTCTGGCAAGGTAACTATAAAGACATTTCAGCTTTTATGAATGAAAATTAAATTGAATATCTCTTAATGCAATACTTAAGTCTTGACAGAACAAATATATCCCAAATCTTTATGAAATGAACGACAGAGAAAACATTCAGATGTATGCAGAGTATGATGTTTATGCTTGTGCATATACACTGTACTGTATGTATTTATACTTTGTTTGTTTTTTTACAGGGAAAAGAAGCAGCTGAATAAAGCACTTGAGTTGATTGGCTGTTTCTAATCATATAATATGATGTGAAGTATACCACAATAAACGTTTTTGATCTTCAA